TCTCTCTCTCTCTCTCTCTCTCTCTCTCTCTCTCTCTCTCTCTCTCTCTCTATCTATCTATCTATCTATCTATCTATCTATCTATCTATCTATTCTCTATCTATCTATCTATCTATGCGTGCGCGCGTGTGTACTGCCGGGAAGCAGGATCTGCAGCAGGGGGTGAGCGTGGAGGGGGAGAACGAAAACATGAAAACCCTTTAGTCTTGCTAATCTGAGTGTAAGTATGATGATGGTCTTTCCTGCACTCTCCCGAGGCTGAGGGATATTGGCATCCGAGGCAGAAGGGTGACGTGGAGGGGAAGGATGATGTGGAGGAGATGGAGTGGAGAAGAAGGACGATGTACAGAAAAAGACGGAGAACGAGAAGAAAGACGAGGAAGGACCATGGCAAGACAACACAGAAGCCACGATAAAGAGAAAGATATACGAAATCACCATAGCCTCCTTCTCCCCCTTTCACCATAGCCTCCTTCTCCCCCTTTCACCATAGCCTCCTTCTCCCCCTTTCACCATAGCCTCCTTCTCCCCCTTTCACCATAGCCTCCTCCCTCCCCTCCAACTTCTTCACGTCAGCAATCTCATCTTCCTACACCCCTCTCGTCGTAAACATCATATCATTTCATCTCTCCTCTCCTTCCTCTCCCTCCTGTTTGTCCTCCCATGTTATCTTCGCATCATCATCGCTTCTCGGTTCCCCTTCCTTCGTCGTGCTCTCCTGAAGGTAGGCAGATATTGGCCTTCACGGCTTCCAGATGACACTGGACATATGCAGAGGCTGACGTGGAGGAGTACAGGGAGAGAAGGATGACGGTAGAGAAGGACAAAAGGAGACACGTGGGGGAGAGAAGACCTTGAAGAGAGAGAGGAGCAGGAAGGAGCATGGTGAACGAGATAGAAATGCAAATTCGAATTAACATATAGAAAGAAAAATGAAACCACCGTTGCTCCCTACGCCTTCTCCCATTCCGCTTCTTCCTGTCGTCAGGAACGTCATACCCCTCCTCCTCCTCCTCCTCAGCTCATTCGCTGATAGAAAACCATAGTTCTCTCTCTCTCTCTCTCTCTCTCTCTCTCTCTCTCTCTCTCTCTCTCTCTCTCTCTCTCTCTGTGTGTGTGTGTGTGTGTGTGTGTGTGTGTGTGTGTGTGTGTGTGTGTGTGTGTGTGAGTGTCATGTGTGTGTGTGTGTGTGTGTCACATGTGTGTGTGTCACATGCGTGTGTGTGTGTTTGTCTGTGTCTGTCTCTGTATAACACACACACAGATCAATAAAATTTGGCGCGCACGTGAGCAAGACGGGGAAAGTGCGCGATGACGGGAGGTTCAGCAGGCGGAGCTTAAAATCTCAAGATATTAGAAAGGAAAGGTCAGCGCGGGGTGAGGTCGCCATGGGTGTAGAGAAATGGGAAAGCAGGTGAAGACGGGTATTGCGACAGGATGCCGAAAGATGGAGAGTCCGAGAGAAAAGGGGGGGGGAGGAGGAGGAGGAGGAGGAGGAGGGGAGGAGGAGAAAGGACAAGATCGCGGCTTACCTTTTTTGTGCAGAGCTGCTTACCACTCCTACGACCGGGAAAAGAAAAAGTTTTTACTCTTGGCCGCTTCCGGCATCAATCTAGAGCAGCAGACTGCTCATGTTCCCCCCGGCCCTCCCTCTCTCTCTCTCTCTCTCTGTGTGTGTGTGTGTGTGTGTGTGTGTGTGTGCGTGGCAAGCACCCCACACACCCACGCCCTCACTCGCGCAATGCACACACACGGGCACACACGCGCACACACGTACAAACAAGCACGGCCTCTGCCGGTACCGTTCAGGAGGGCGACCGTGGGCCTACCCGCAGATTCTGGTTCCACTGGACAAATTCTAGTTCCATCCAGGCCGTTGGCCCACTGGTACTGGGGCGACGGCCTGGATTGCATCATGCGTACGACGATCGGGGCCGTAGGCTCATTAGGACAGGACGGGCTCGATTCCAGATTTGTTAGACTCTTGAAAGGATCTGGGCCATCGCACGGTGGACCGCTGACAGCCCCTATTCCAAATTCCCAGCCCTGAGGCTGCGGTACAGTTCGCAGCCCTAAGGGCTCCGTATGGTGCGGTCCAGCTTGTGTGTGTCAAGGTGCCCGACTTTTGGCGGTGGACTACCACTGCAAAATAGGCCTTGTAGGCGTCCAAATTTCCGAATCACCGTCCACCAAAAAAATAGGGCATATAGGGGTCCAAATTTCCGTATGACCGGTCCAAATTTCCGTATGACCGGTCCAAATTTCCGTATGAACGGTCCAATTTTCCGGACGATGCAGTGTACATGGTCCCAGCCTTGCAGAAACATAAGCAGCCCGGAGGGCGTGGGGTCTTGGAGTGCATTTTGGAGACCCCACCGGCTGACCCTCCGCCCCTCCCAAATGCCCCCCACTTTCCCGTTTCCCTCGGAGTTCACACTTTTCTCGATTTCTCGAACTCAAACTTTGCCTGAAGAAGAAATCCCACCAGCTGACCCTCCGCCCCTCCCAAACGCCCCCCACTTTCCCGTTTCCCTCCACACGTTCTCGATTTCTCGAACTCAAACTTTACCTGAAGAAGAAACCCCTGGGCGCCGCCCAAAACAACCGTTGCACGACCTCTGCAGGCTACCGCTGGTTCTTCGGTTTTTGCCTCTATTGGTCGGTCTAAAGACAACGACCACACCCTTCTGCGCCATATTCCCACCCCCTCTACACCGCTCTAAACCCCAAACAAAAAGTTCGTCGACATCTCCCGATCGGGAAACTGCGGCGTGCCAAAAATGCAACCGGGTATAGCGCAGCCTCCTGGCTGCGAAATTGTAGCAACAAGGAAAATTTGGGGTTTGGAGAAGGCCCGATAGTGCAACGAGGGAGAAAGAGGTGGGCACAGCAGCGAAAGGCAAATGAACTATTGTTTTAACCGGTGGTTCAGTCCGTGACTGTGCAAACAGATGCACGCACGAGCCCAACTCTAGCCAAAAAAAATAAAAATAAAAAAATTGAAAGGAAGAAACAGAATGGCAAAATGCCCGCTAGCATGCACTATACGAGGGCACAAAGCCTTCAAACTGCAGGAAAAAAGGCACAAATGCCCGCAGTAGGCAAGCGTGCAGTGATTCACATGTTATGTATCAACACCCATTTTGTGTCCACATACGGGTCCAGGAAAGTAAAGTGTTCCTGCCTTGTTGGCACCAGAAAGCGCGCGGGCATCGAGGACGAATCCTCGAAAATTTCTTTGGTTTTTGAAGGCGTAGTTCCACCTGTCCTCGGTTTATTGCTCCGAGGACGAATCCTCGGTACCCTCCCGCGGCCCGTTTCATAAGATTATACACGGTCGGGTGGGGGTTGTCCAACCTTCGATTCACGATGTCCGACAAGGCGGCGTCATGGTCCAGCAGGCATGCCATACCTCTCGCGAGCCCCTACGTCGAGTGCGCCAGGAAATAAAATTTGCGAACGCAGTGTCGAGCGCATCGGTCGAGCACCGCATAAAACGGGGCGGGATATGAAAATATATTTTTCCTACGGGAAGCGCTGCCGAAATTTTCTTAGTTTAGAGGAGATAGATTATATTTTGACAAGTGGTGAATCTGACAACCTACCATGCATAGGGAAGATATTGTCAAAGGTCTACCTTTCTTTGGGCACTGACTTAGAGGTAGACTATGATTTTGTTGTGAGAAGATTTTGAGTGAAAGTGTGACATGGGGATTTATTCTCTATACACTTATATACTTAGTCTGCGAATTGACCTATCTTGTGTTACAGGTCCTTTTAATCTTTTCGATTCAGGATTATACTAATTCCAGCCTAATCTCACATGGATTATCTTCTGTTATCACTGATAACAAGTCGGTTGGCTGATCGCCGACTTGTCGGCTCACGACACAACTTTGGTTATACCTGTACCTGAACTTGATGCCTTAGCCCTGAGATTTGATATATTTTTTTAATGGTTTTAACCGAACTTCTTTTAATTACCATTATAAAGAACTTATAAGATTTATGGAGAGTTGGACTATGACTGGGAATTGAGTGTGTGAGGTGTGGTGTGAGTTACAGGGAACAGTAAAGTTGACCACATTGGTGTGCGACGATGTGGCGTTTGTCTGTGTCTGTGTTTTATACAGGTTAGTGTCTTGGAGCCTGTATACGAATCTTACTTCGGAGGCGGTGAGAAAAGCAAACATGTGTCGCACGATGTATATACCTGATGGGTTTATATTTCCCTTTCTCTATTTTACCTCGAGTCTTGATTTGATAAATGGGTATTGGGATGATTGATTATTCTTTTGATTGATCTTGCTTGTTAATTTTTGTAGTTGGACGTTGGAGTGTGTGGCAACCGTCAAAGTCAAACCTTTTGATTTTGTTTTCCAGACCCTGGATGATGAAGTTGGTCTCCAGCGCGATAAGAGACGATTGTCCCCACAAGTATGAACCTATATGCCACCCACTCTGGGTGTGGTTCTCAACCGCACTTGGAGGTTGTCTAGCGTCGAGAGATCAACCACTCAAGGCGCGTGTCAGCCGACACTTGAGTGTCGAATGCGACCCTCGAGATTAACGAGGACCGCAGGAGTATGGGTACTGCATAGTACGCCATCATTGCGACTGCTTGCGTATGCTTGCATTGCGAGTCGATATGAGTTAGCCCTGCGTCCGCGCGGTTTTATACTAATTCTCGCGCGCGTCGCCTATCCGATTTCCGCATCGGAGAGTTATGGGATGATTATTGAAGGGACTAGGAGTGTTGTCGCGTCGTTTCTTTTGTGTCGTTCTGTATATGTGTGTGTGCGTGCGTGTTTTAATTTTTATGTCTTTAGAGTGGTGTACGCGTGGTATGTAGGATACGTCTGAGTCGATCGACGACGAGTCGCGCTTGGGACCTCAGCCCCCCAAGGCGTCGGTTCGCGTGCGGGTCCGATAGAGGTGTAAGACCGCACGTAC